TTCAAATATGAGTCTTCAAGAGAAGATAAAAGATTTGAAGGTGAGGCTTCAATTCATACTCATTACAAATTGTTGAGGATGGAAATGATTCACTGGATGGTATGATGTTCTTGATTACTTCTTCAAGATTTCTGCCGCGAACTTAGTACCTTGTTGTTTTGAACGAGAAATCATGGAAAATTATAAAATGTCAACCATGTTAAATTTCCATGTGTAGGCTGAGAAGAATGAACTTCGCGACGAGAAACAGATGCTCAAGGGAGAGAAAGAAAAGTTGGAGCAGCAGCTGAAAACTATCAATGTACAGCCTAGTTTCTTGCCTACCCCACCTGCAATTCCTGCTGCATATGCCGCTGCCCAAGGCCAGGCCCCTGGCAACAAGTTGGTACCATTTATCAGTTACCCAGGTGTTGCCATGTGGCAATTTATGCCACCAACTTCAGTGGATACCTCACAGGATCATGTACTCCGTCCACCAGTTGCTTAAGTTGGCACTGTATGAATATTTGGGCATTCCTCAAAAGTTGTATTCATCTCCTCACCATACCTTCTTGGCTATTGTACCTTTCAACCAATTGTTCTAACTGCACCTGATGGGCTTGGCTCTGATTGAATTTGGCATCTGATACTTTTACGAAGTAATGCTGGTGTTTGCATGTAAATTTTTAATAAGCTTATCTGGCTATATTCTCTTTGGTTGTGACGCATTGGATCTTTGGATGATCTGTGGGGTCAGGCACAACAGATTGTTATGTTGGTTTAGCCTTTAGGCCTGTGAAATAGTGGAGGAAATTCTTGAAGCAAGAAATGCTTTACAATCAAGGAAGTAATATATTCTGCTTTAACTTCAAAGTCTGCAATTGGATTAAGCCTTGGATGTTACAATGCCACTTCGGACGTCGCCAAACAAATGGTTGTAACTTCGTGCATTCCATTGTATGGTAATTTATTAATTTTGATGTCACCGATTGTGTGTTTTCATGTATCAGATAGAATTTCAGCATATTTTATTAGATGAGATTAATGATGCATCGATGATGCTATTATACTTTATCAACAATCAAATTTTTTAATAAATTATTAATTAAAAAGTCTTATTCAATAATTTTATTGAGTATTCTTTTTAGTTTTTCTCTTGCTTATTTTCAAAGGATTCAATATTGTTCTGCACTTCTCACCAATTCCTTCAATGGTTTTCTTCAAAGGGAAAATTATAATCAAGTTCTACAGAAGAAAAATAATTATTAAAAAGTTTCAATAATAACCTGAGTAGTCTGTAATGACAAGTCTTACGGCGGAGAATGACAATCTCTGAGACTTATTTTATAATTTTTTTTATGGGATTTGATTGTAATTTTTCCTCGTTCAAACATATTTGAATCACTTTAAATAATTTTCTATTATTTTCTGTTTTATAAAATTTAAGCAATGAGTTTTTTTTTTTCAACTTCCCAAATACACAATTTTTTTATAAATTGTACTCCTCCGGTCCTAATTATAAGACCCAATTGACTTATTTGAAGAGATTAAGGAAGTAAGTTAAGTTGGTTATTTATAATAAATAAGTATTGTCATTCCTAAAATATCCTTGCTAATTAAGTATATTGGCTAAAACTATCATTATTAGAAGGATTATCTTGGAAAAAAATGTATAAATATAAGAGACAAAATGGATTGGGTCTTATAATTAGGACCAAATAAAAAGTCAAATTGGGTCTTATAATAAGGACCGGAGGAGTATATTGTATACTTGTATGGTGGCTTTTGTCCCTTGCAGTACAATAATTATAAAGTATTATGACGCAGCATTCGTTTAAAAAAAATCACGCATCATCACCTATGATCTTTTTGCTTAAAAAAAATCACCTATGATCTCGACACTTCGATAAAACATTAATTGACAAATGGACAATTCAAAAGAAATTAACTGATAAATGGCAAGTGCAGGTGATTTGGATTGTCAAAGAAATAAAGCTGTAGGAAATTTAAAAAATAAATTTTTAGATGGTCAGACGCTTGATCCGAAATTTTATGAACCTTAGCTTCTCCTCACTCCCTCTTTCTTTTCTTTTTAATTTTTTCCTTGGCGTAAAATTAGAGGAACCATTGCTCGAGTACGCCGGTTAAAAAAACAAAAAACAAAAGTTAATATAATTTTTTTATCCTAAAATGTGACCTCATTTTAATTTTAATCTATCAAATTTTAATCTGGTAATTTTAGTTCCCAAAATCCCATGTGTCTTAAGATATTAGTTCTTGACAATGCAACAGTGTTAAAATCTGTTGAAATTGTGTCAATAAAATTAGAAGTGATAATATGGACTCACCAGATAATATTTCAGATAATACTTGATTAGATCTTGTATGAATAATAGAGTATAATATAGTAAATATCTCCAGAAACGAGAAGTAAGGAAAAAAAAACATGAAACTAAAGAGTTGCGTTTTAAGGATTTGTTCTTTTTTTCTCCTTCCGTTATCCATACAAGATTTTGTTAAATGACATCTGGTGAGTTAATATCACCATCTCTTTAGTGATGTTTATAACACTTTAATACTACTTCCGGTCCTTAATATAAGACCTTATTTGATTTTTATTTTGATCCTAAATATAAGATTTCAATCTACTTTGTTTCTTATATTTATGCATTTTTTTCAAAGTAATCCTTCTAACAATGGTAGTTATAGCTAATACACTTGATTAATAAGGATATTTTAGGAAAGACAACATCTATTTGTTACAAATAACTAACTTAACTTCTTTTCTTAATCTCTTCAAATTAGTCAACTAACTCTTATAATTAGGATCGGAAGTAGTTTTTTAATTAGGGGTGAGCAAAACCGAACCATAATCGAAAACCAAACCGAATCGAATTTAATTTCGGTTTTTCGGTTCGGTTATTTCGGTTTTCGGTTACATATTCGGTTTTTATTTTTGTAATAATTCGGTTTCGGTCTTCGGTTCGGTTAGTAGAAAAAAAAATTCAGTTATAACTGAAAAACCGAAATAAATATATTATATATTTATATTTAATAAATATTATTATAATAAATATATATATTGGTTTATGTGAACTCTTTAAATATATTTATATTCAATAAATATGGTTATAATAAATATTATTGTAATAAATTACATTAAATGATGAAATATTTATTAATTAATAGTTGTAATTGTGTTTTATTATTATGATTAATTTAAAATCACTTTCATATTTATATATTTTAGTTAATCGGTTAACTGAACCGAAATATTTCGGTTAATTCGGTTTCAGTTAATTTAGTTTTCGGTGTTTAAAATTTGTTCTATTCAATTAATTCGGTTATCACCGATAACCAAACCGAAAACCGAATACTCACTCCTATTTTTAATAGTATTACACCTCTCTGCACTAACGTTTTATAAGACGGATTAAATTTTAAAATCGTGGCTTTGGAAACTAAAATCAAAATAGGGCAGAAGCACTCTCACTCATCTTACGTCATTCTTGCGTTGTGTGTGATCTCTGTTAGCCGAAGAAAAGTTTTGTTATTTCTGGTCTGGGGATCTTATCTGGAGATCTGGACGCATGTCAGAGACAAGCTCCTTCATATGAAAGCTATCAGACTGGTCACTGCATCTTGAATGGCATCCTATCTTCACAGAACTCATTTCCACTCTCTTCAGATTCCAAAGCCTATCACTTTTCCTTCAAACTCCCTCACTCACTGCTCATTTATCCATTCATCTCCAACCCATCAATGTCTACGCCAACACTGCCATGTCTCCTTCCTCAAAGCTACACCAACCACATCGATCATCCAATCTTCACTCTCTTCTTCTCCAAACCCACCCACCTCAAAGGAGGAAGCCATAAATCAAGCCAAAATTTCCCTTTCAACGGCCTTAGAGAAGCCCCTCAACAACCCCAAACTAATAGGTAAACTTCAGAAACTGAAGCAACCCAAGTTCAGGGTTGAAATTCCCATTGTGGATGACTCACTGGAATCACTAGCCCAACTTACCCTTGATGTGTTTGATAATATAGCTATTAGAAGAAAAGGTTCTTCAGTTAAGATCCTAATTTTATGGCCCACTCCTACCTTAAAAGAAGCTGCCACTAAAGCCTTTCTTTCTCGTTCGTCTACATCTAACCAAATTGAACACGTGGATATTCCTTCCATTACCAATGTTGATTCCAGAGTTCTGAATTCTGCTGATGTAGCTATCTTTGTGGTTCCCGAGAGTTCTCAATTGGCCGTCATGAAAACAGTGACTGATGTGTTTTATCCGAAGCCAGTAGTTCTGTTCAACCCCACATGGGCTTTTGAGGAGGAGGGCGATTTTGGTGATCTGAGTGGGTTTGTGGGTTCTTTTGAAGTGCTTTATTCTTTTATAGGGTTGGAGGTAAGGGGGGTGTTGAGCAAACGAAAAGGAGTGATTTTCAAGTGCGTGAGAGATGGAGTTGTGAGTGGAGAAAGATGGGTTGTTCATGTAGAAGAAGGGGGAGAATTGAAGGTAGTCTCGAAGTTTAAGGCCCGGCCAACTATTGGTGAAGTTGAGAATGTTCTGTACAATCTGATGGCTATAAATTCTCCCGTGACAAAATCGGCGAAGTTTCTCAAGGATCTGGTGTCCAATGTGACCGGGAAAAAGCGAGAGTAGCTGGAGAATTGTGGTTCAATTTAGGTCTGAAAGTAAAATATGCGTATATGTCTGGAAGAGTTTAGGTACACTATTAAAGTCATTGTATGAGATGAGCCTGTAATGCTATTTGTGAAATTCAATTTAGTTCTCAGATTTTACTCTCTCTGAGATTATGGTTTATGTCTGAATAGGCAGTTGCAATAGAGGATGCTGCCTGAATCAAGGGATTTTTTTTCCCAAGCGAAATGAGATTGGAAATTGGTTCATCACTCTTTTCTTCACCGTTTCTTCACCTTGCTTAAGTTTATTGTTATGCCTATGGCCTTTAATTTTATATTTCTTTCCAAAAAAGAAAAAGAAAAAAGCTGTCTCATTTTTTACATATATATTTGATCTAACAATGCTCATACTTACAATATGATTTCAAGAAAAAAGAATCTGAGAACTTCCGCGGCAGCGAATTTAAAAGATATAAAAAAAATGAAAAAATAAAAGGAAACAGAGAAGGGAGCATCGTGATTTATCATGGTTGTGTCCTTGTCGTTGAAGGCCTTATGCTTGGAAGAACTCTCTCATTTTCTTTTTTCCTCGTAATCTCATATACAAATCCCATTTCGTCAACTCATCAGAAGGATTTGATATTCTTGAGACCATAATTACGATGGCCTAATATTACAGCTCTTGATGAACTTATCTGAAAAGTTGACATACTTAGCCCACAAGGGCTTTAGCTGTGGAAAAGCTATGTCTAGCCATGGCTTTGCCCTGCCATTAAAATGGATGACACCAGCACTCTCAGCGTCGGAAAATCTTGTGTTTTCCTGATATCCCAACCCCAGCATGTGCCAGAAAGGATCAATTATGTGGACGTGACCATGGAAAGCTATCAATCCAGGAGGTAATGTCCCTAGCTGCCAAAGACTCAGGTCTGTCTTTATATTCTGCTCAAGGAAAACAAAAAATATCAGTACATTTTTATATTATCTTCCTCTATAATGGAAACTCAAACTTCAATAATTTATTTCTCTGTTATGGCAGGACGGAAGATAGACATACCTGCTCAACCCAATGATAGTATGTGAGGCTTATATTGGTTTTCCTCCAAGCCTCAAGATCAAAAATGTTCATGCCATAAGCCCAAGCACATTCATCAGGGTCGAAATTTTCAGCTATCAAGGGATGAGAGAAGTTCAAATAGCTTTTCAACCTCTTTGACATCACAAACTTATCTTCTCCAGTACATGTTTCTACTGCTCCATTTACTTTTCCATTCATTTCAACGTCCCACAGAGGTGAAAGATCAGTTTGTACGACAATGTCATCATCTAGGAAGACTACCTTGTTGAGACTTGGGAATAACTGTCACAAAAAACAAAAAAAATCATGATGATCAGCATCACAGGCACAAAAACAGGGGCTACGTGACCAGTTAAGTTTGATCCAGCCTAAGTTCAATGAGCCAGCTCATAGGGCTCAACACGTGTCTAGTTTTGGTCCAAAAAGAAAGGGAAAACATATCTGCTTGCCATGCATGCTACTCTTCTTACCTCTGGAAGATGTATCCTTATGTGGTTCATCATTGAGTTATACTTGGGACTTAGAGCTTGCAGTTTTGCTGCAACAACTTGTGGTTTCTCAATACCATTCGCAACAATAGCTGATGATCCCCCTCTGAACTGTGACCTCACTTGTTGATCTTTCTCCATTGCTTCAAGAACAGGCACCTTTCCCTTTGTAAACCATTCAAAATGGTGTAATGCCTTGACCTCGATTATAGCAGGTGACAGAGGGTGCAATGAGAACCAAGCCTGCATGGGATAGTAAGTCTTTCTATCTGTAATGATGTGCAGTACCACCTTGCGGGGTCGCCTAGAGTTTCGGACTAGTGAGGTGGCAACCACAGAAGCTGCCAGAACATTGTCTGATGCAAGAACAAAGTGGAAGTAGGAGTTGTCAACCAAGGCAGGGACTAGTTCTGCAGGAGGAAGCTGATGGCGAGCTTGTGCGTTGTTGGTGTGCTCACTGGCCAGCCTCAGGTCAAGACAGTGAAGCTGCTTAGGTATGCTGCTTGATGCCACATGGCGATATAGGTATTCTTGGATTTTGGCTGTCCTGGTCCTCTTTTCCATGAGGACGACCTATGAAAGAATTCAGCACACTTGAATAAGGAATTAGACCAAACCGAAGTAAAATCTATGCAAATGTTTTTAATAGACTATTGAATGTCGAATTGCTTGGATCTCATTTAAGGAAAGTTGAACTAAACCGATTTGATCTACCTTTAAGGCCAGTTTGTTCAAAATTAAGGGAAAAACATATTTTAAGTTAAATGAGCGAGTTGTTGAGAGAACCTTAAGTTAGACGTGATGTCTTTGTTGAAAGAAATATCTTTTCAGCTTATCTTGAAATAAGCTAATTTGGAATAGTTTATCAAAATAAGTTGAAAACAAATTTTTCAATACATCCCTCATGTTTAGCTAACAAGTACCTCTTGTTTAGCTTAATTAGAATCACTTTTTTTCCTTAATCTTTAAAAAACTGGGCCCTAATCTGATTGTGGTTAATGTTGCCAGAGCGTTCTGAACTGTATATATTGATGGTTTACTGTAAATTTGGCTGCAATATTAATGTCAGCAAATACACGCCTTTGAGTATTCCTGTAGTTAAGAAGCAGGAAAAATTAAATACCATTTCTCTGAGTTTGGTAGCAAATGTTTTGGCATCATATCCACCTTCCTTCATTTCAGTCATGAAGTCTTCCAAAGTCTGTGGAATATCAGATCTTCCTTCTACTTCATCCTGGTCAACGGGTTCATCTAATATTTCGTATATCACTTCTGGGACCTATCAAAATTCAACGTCAACTTCTGTTCGTAGTAGAAACTTGAGCTCAGGTATGGCAAAACATGCATAATTTGAAGAGTTGAGGAAATTACATTTGATTCAAGCTTTCTTCCCAGAATCCTTGGTCCTAGTTTTTTTCCCAGGCAACCTACAAACATCAAAGAAAATGGAACAGTCATTTATATGCATATATGACAATTTCACGTGTCCTCAGCTCAGAACTGATTGATGATTTTCGTTGATGAAGTTTATACTTCAATATTTATTGATTTTTCTACAAGAAACCACAGCTTCTCTGAAACGTGAAAATGAATTAATAATATAATTGTGTAATTTAACTTGCTATTTTTGAAAGAAAGAGGTGACAACGTCTAGGTCAAAAATTTCCCCAACAATTATTAACTGACAAATCTTAATAATCGATCTGTTTTCTTCGCAAGTTCTTTAAAATGATCAAAAATCACATGATGATATGAATCTTAAATCAAGCCAAAAGGATTTACTCAATTTATGACACTGAACCAGAAGGATAGCAATAACAGAGACTCCATTAAATGTTTTGATTTTTCATACTGACTGCCATATCATATACTACTATTTTTTCTCTGAAATTTAGTCAAAGTCCAGAAAGGAAAAAGAATTTACAAAAGTGCGGTTTTTTTCATTTATTAACTGATAAACATCTTTTGCCCATGTGATACATGAAAAAAGATAATAATTTAGAACTTTCAAAAAGTTATTCTTATCTTTCTAATATCTGGAAGAAAAATTTTAAAAAATTACAGGAAACCCACAATGTGTAAAGAAAGACTCTGAATTAATTAAAAAAGGTTATACTCATTATGAGAGAAGTGGCCAGATTTTATATTTTAGATTAATGATTTCCAAGTTCTTAGAAATGCCGCGTTTAAAAACGAACTAGTTGGCTACAAAATAGCCATTTTCGCAGCATGCAAGCTAAGTCCAAAACTTATGGTAGAGAGATAAAGAGAGGAGATAACAGAGAGGTATAGGTACCTATGGTAGAGCACTTGAAATGTCCATCAATGGTGTCCACAGCAGTCAGTACAAAGACAAAGCGAAGAAGGAAAGTGAAGAGCAAGAGTGAATAAAAGAGCATTCTATAAGACACCCTCCTTGAAGCAATCTTCACTTTCATGAATTCTTTGAACCCTTTTCCAGGAAGCACAGTCACATGCCTCAAACTTGGTGATATGTAAAGCTGCATTTTCTCAAAACCAGCGACACAAAAAATCACACAGCAGCCTTATAACTATTGGGATTATTCCTCCTTAATAGTATATAGCAGTAACAGAAGTTACTTCTTCATTGGCTGGTGAACAACCCAGAACCTGATGATCATGAACAGAGAGAAGAAAATCAGGAGGAGGAAGAAGAGAAGAATGTGAGGTTGTGTTATGGTGTAAAAGGGCTTTAAGAGTACAGATATGTGTTACCTAACGTTGCTTAGCATTTGGGAGAGACGAAGAGGGGATTTTGAGGGTTTTAATATATAATTTTTAAGGTGAAGTTGGGGTTGTTAAAGAGAAAGAGACATAGGACTGAGAGGATGGAGGATGATGGATGGCTTCTTCTTTGTTTGTTTGATTCAAACTTGGTTTTCAAGGAGGGAAAAGCATGTAAATGAAGAAATGCCGAAAAAAAGTTAAATATAATTATTATAACATTATATTGTTAACAAAAAAAGAAACAGATAATTAAGCATGTTTTTCCTTCTGTTGGACTATTTTTATTGTTTGGTGAATGCTTGTTGGCTTTGCCTGCAAATAAAGTTTGGTTTTTTAGGACATGTTGAGTTTGGACTATGACAGAAGCAGGACTTCTACATGGAAAATGACCCTCTCTCTCTCTCTCTTTCTCTCTCTAAGGTGGGGTTGAAGATGTTAGTCGATGGAGTGAAAACTCAGGAAACAATCACAATACTCTAATATCTGTGTCTGTTCTTTTAAGAATACACAGAAAATCAAAGGTGAACGAACCCTTCTGCTGCAGGCTTAAGAAATTTACGTGTAATTATAAATAGACTTGTATGTTGGTCGGTGTGTAGCAGCAGCATGTGATTCAGAAGAACTCCGTTGCATTTTCTTTTTTTCTCAGTCCAAATTTGTAAGTAGGATTGGTTCATAAAATATTCATAACATTAATAAAATAATTAAGAATAAACAGAACATATTGAAAATGTACATTTTTCATACAATTTTTTCTCACAAAAAATTTGAAACTTTTATTAATGAGGATGACATAATAAATTGTTACACACACCAGGTACCAGTATTCTGATTTAAGTCATTCTCACCAATAAGATTTTAATTGGACACTTTTCCCCAAATTTTTCTTTTTCTTATTATAAATTTATAAACATATTTGTGATAAATTTGTTCTGCTGGTTGTCTAATCATCATATAAATATAATTTATTATTTCTGTAAATATATAGGTTTGAAATCATGTCTATTATTTCTTTTTAATGGTGCGCTATAGCAATGACCCTTGAAAGGTGTTAATTAGCCCAACAATAAATATCTGGTGTAATTATCAGTAAATTGAACAGTTAAAAATCAACAGGATGAGAAGTCACTTGCGGCGTATTACACTTTTTTTCTGATAGCCTTACGAATTACAGTACAGTGTTATTATCAATTGTAAAATTGTTACCAATACGATAAAGATCTTGGAGATTTAATTATGTTATTCTGGAAAATAAATTGTATTAATTATGACTCATATTGATGTTGCATATATTTTGTATAAATCCAATCAACATGATGTATAAAATCTGTCATCTTTTGGTCTCACTCTCATTTTATCCTTTTCTTTTTTTTTTCTTTTTACCTTTGATAGAATCTTGTTGATGGTTTGTGGGGGAATGAAATCATATTTCCCCAATTTTAAATATGAGACTTATTTAAATCATTTATATAAATTAAAAATTAATTAATTAGTTATTTTCATTATTATTATTATATAAAAATAGGTGTTAATTTTTCTAAATATTTCTCATTTTAATAACTTAGAACGTTATTTGAGGTACAAGTTCTTGACACAATTCCATGTTTGCTTAGCAATTAAATTAGCAAAATGACAACTTTTTTTGTTGGCCAATGTGGGTATACTCTTCTAATCTTAAATATAGAAGTTAATTAGGAAATTGATTTTGATTATAAATATAATATTTTAAATAATTTAATTTCTCATATTTATTATTTTCTTCAAATTAATTGATCTGACTTATAAATTGATATGTATAATTTAATGTTACATAAAGTTATTTTAGAATTACATTTGTTAAAATTAAATAATTTATTTAGGTTTTTTTAATCTCTTTAAATTATTTAAGTAGCTCTTATATTAAAGACACAATAATAATATAATTTATAAGTAAATAAGGCTCGCATTATTTTGAAGTATATTCATAATTTGCATTTAGGCAGAAGAACTTTCATCTTATCAAATTCCTTCATCGCCATTTTATAATTTCCTACTACAAACTCAAATGGAAACGCCAACATGTGATTCCATTTATAAGTTATTTTTAATATGTTTTGTATAGATTTACTTTAAAATTTAATAATTTTTAAATTTTATCCATGTTTAATATGTGCTATACCCCATGAGAATTAAGTTATAATATGTTTAACATATATCAAGAAAAATATTATATTTTATTAGCTTTTATTTAGAATTTAATAACTTTTTAACTTTATCTTTATTTAATATATGTTCTACCCCATGAGAATAAGATCTACATAATAATAAATGAATTGTAAATCATACATTCATGTGAATTTTTTTTTCCCTATCTTAGGAATATGACTAAAAAAATTTTTATTTCCGTACCTTATAAATAGAACGGGACAAGCATATGCTTCTTAAATTGTTTTGTCAAGAGACTTTAATCCTACCATTAAATTCTTCATTGATTAATTAATGTGTTCGTTAGGTACTTGCTTTGTGCTAAACACAACTTGTTAAACTCAATTTAGCACGGATCAACTTTATTCGGACCCAATTAATCAAAATAATAATAATGAATATACTTAAATATCCATCAAAAGAATTCTATAATAGGTGCAATTTATTTATCATACCTAGTACTCTGAATTTGTATGATCAACCTAAAACCTACCAAAAAAAAACACAGAAATGTTGAAGTTCCTCTCACCTTGTAGATTGAATATAATGAGGCAAGCTTATGATGAAATCAAGCTTGGGAACTATTCAATGGCCTCTTATAACCCTGCAAATTCCATAATCTAATGGCGGCTTCATTTGTTTTCTGGGCTCCAAAATAAAGTTCCTTAATTTCAACATGGAAGTTTCCATCATCTATATATCTTTATTATTACCTGTCTTGTCTTTTATTTTTAAATGAATTATTACATTTTCAATGAAAATTAAATTAATTAAACAGAGGGCAATTATCATAGAAAAAACAAAGAAAAGTTTCAGAAAAAGAACTTTAAAATTATTATTTTCCAATTTAAGCACCTAAGAGTTAGAAATGACAGAGAATGAAACCGTGCCTGATCTGGTATTTTGTAAATATAATTAAATAACTAAAATGTCCTCATATTAAATATAGTTAAATACCTTAAACTTTTTATTGCCAGTACATTTCTTGTCACTGATTGTTCAACAGTTATCATTGTCAGTTCACAACTTGTTAATAAATAACTTATTATGACCAGTACATTTCTTGTCATTTGCTATTCAACACTTATTATTAACAGTTCACAACATGTTAATAAACTTTTTAATATAAAAACATTTTAGTCATTTAGCTATATTTACAAATTACCATATCGGGCACCACTTTCTCCTTTAAAATTTTGAAGTATTAAATGCCTAATTTAAAATATCATATTTTTTAGCTTCTTTATTTATCATTTTTCTTACAAACAAGAGGCCATGATGTAACAAGCTTTCTCAAAAACAAGAGAGGATTTTTTGTTTTTTTGCCTGAAAAAAAGAGAGGGTTAAATTATACAAAACACCTATGAAGTTTATATCATACATAAATAACTTCTCTAATTTATGAAACTTTACCATAAATCTTCCCGAACTGTTACATTTGTACAAATAACTCTCGTGTTATTAATTTTGTGGATTATTTGTTTATAAATAAATTAAAATTTAAAAGGCTTATCTACATACTCGTATAATTTAAAGTTTGAGAGAATTATATGCATACAAAAATAAAGTATAAGGATTATCAAATTGATCATTAATGATTATCTGCATAGATTTAAAAATTTATCAATTTTATAACATAATAATTCATTTAGTTATAAAACATTAAAACTTAATGATTTAATCAAGTATTTCATATTTATTAACTATATTTCATTCTACCCATTTAATTGTCCATAGTATATGTGAATATGATTAAGGATCATGCCATGAATGAAAGTGAAATAGCTTATTTAATTTTGAAATAAAAGAAAAGTTGATAAAGTGAGAAAAATTAAACATGAATTATCGGTGTTTGGTAATATACTAATATATGGTAATATTATCTCTTAATCGTGCTATTTATTTTCGGCAAAGATACTAGTAAGCTATTATTATTGATAAAAACCATGTACTATTAGAGTTAGATGATCCATAAATTAAAGGAACTAAAATATAGTTTTCAATATTTCATATGTGACATTAATTAGGACGCGAGTTTCTTATTGGATATACTATAAATGTTTTCTTGACCATCATTTCAACTTCAATGTTGATGTGCCAACGAATATAATATTCAGAATATTTATTTACAAATTATAAAGTGTTTTGTCAATCAATATATTATCATCAATTTTTATTTAACAAGGCTTCACGTTTGTAATTAAATTATTTTTGAAGTAATGACGGCGGTGGATCCACTTGGTCTAATATGAATGGGTAAGAGATGAGAATAATTTTTATTTTTCATTTTTAGAAAAAAGAGGAAAATAATTTCAAATGCTTTATTTGCAAGTCTACTAATACATTTTTCTTGTTTCTCAACCACTTTGGTTGTCGCACTTTTTTGAACGAGTCAATTACTTGAACCACGTGTCAAAATCTAATTTTTTAACTCAAAAATAGAATTAAACAAAAATACCTTTTTTTTAGAACTATTCCCAAGCAGCCTTAACGCCGCCCCCTTTTCTCGTTTTTTAACCGAATTACATGGCTTTAAAAGATTAAAATTAGTTTAAAATAATAAATATGTAAAAATTAAACTTTTTCAAATATGTCCTCATTTGATAAAAAGGCAAATAAGAGATACTAGTATAAAAAAGAATGTAGTCGATGAGGTCAAACTGTTCATTAATAGAGATTGGTTGACTGTATTTTGCCATATAGGGAGGGAATCGATTCCCTTAGCAGACCATTTAGCTAAGTCTTCTCATGGGATTGATGGCAATTTTTGCCTCTTTGATCAGCCTCCTCCCAACATTTCTGGAGCGGGGGGCGATCAAGGAGTGTAAGAATTGCTAGGTTAAGTTTGTATCTGTTGCTTGTTTCCTAGTTATCATTAAAAAAAAAAAAAGAATGTAATGTAAGAACAAGATGAGAAAAGATAATAGAAAATTAATCAGAAGCAAAATTAGTAAAAACACGTTCAATATTTAAATACCCCTAAACAGAATTTTATAAAAAGAACTAAACTAATTCAAATTTTGGAATCTTACAGAATAGATAGGAGGGAGCACTTCATTGATCCCCCATTCCAAAGACTTTTTCATAAATAATTGATGAGAAAAGCTCAAATGCACAATCCCAGCATAAAAAAGAGTGGCCAAAACACATTAAAAGTAATTCCATTATATGTACACATTACAGATCTGTCTGTTATGTACAAGTTTGACAGAAGAAATCTAACATATAGCAGCATCCATAACTTAGCATTGTACTCAGTCAGGCCTTCACCCTCAAGTTTCTCTGCCGATCCAACAATTTCTAATAACACTGTAATTTAAGCTTCCCGTTTGCAATAAAAAGAATATTCCCATACCTGAGCGAAATAAATTAGAAAATAGACAAGCTTGTTATTAACTGAGCATAACATCTACATTAGTTTAGAACAAAGAAGAAAGTACATCCAGTGCAACATTCTTTTTTTAGTACCTATTTATCAACTTGGCAATTCCACTTGATCGATTGTTTCAAGAAAACACAGTTCAATCATCTCAAGAAACTTACCATGTAAGAAACATCTAAATCAGAAACCAAAGTATTCCCTTTACTTCAAATTGTCTTCAAAGTGATTCTCCATTTTCAAGCCTTCTTTGTCACTATTTACAGGCATGAGTTGAGCCTCCATGTTTGAGTGCTCTTTATTATTTACAACCTCATGGCGTGTATTGGCTTCAAGGTTGTCATTGTCATTCTTATTTACAAAGCCGTTAGTTTCTGGTGATCCCAGATGATCATTCCACTCTGCCCTTCCAACCTCGCCGTCTATCTTGTGTACAATACCACCATAATTTGTCATCCAGTCAGAGTCAGCAGAGTCTGAGTTACTTCTCTCTGAAATTGTGTCTTTTCCATGAATCCCACAATTCAGATGTAAATGGGGCTCATTTACTTCACTATTTACAGTAGGAGTCCTGTGAAAAAATATACATACATAATAAGCTACCGCTATGCAGAGTTCCAAAAGCACATCAAACAAGACAACAAAATTCTCAACACATAGCATAGGCACCAAGTCTTAACTATCTTATTGTATCACCAAACCTTGTTTGTTGGAAATTGTGTGGCTGAAGATAGTCGGAAATTGGCACCAAGTCCTTGGCCCTAGCTTCAACTACATGCGTTGGAATTCTTTCAATCTCAATTTCCCCTTCTGAAGCAGTTTCTTCACTCAATATGCCTTCCTCTTTCACCATTGAATGAAAATATATCTGGTTGGCAACAGAAATATTCATTTAACTGTCAACTAATTGACTGATAAGCATTACATGGATAATTTATATTTATAGAAAATAAATAAAACCTCTCGCTTTGCCCACACTGGAGTTTGCGCTTGGTGGGTCTGAAGTTCTGTTTCTGAAAAATACAAATGATGTTGCTCTTCCTTAGGATGAGAATTCACTTTCATGATTACATTATTGAGTTTCGGGTTATTGATATTGTCATCCCTCATCTCTACAGGATATATTTTATTGCTATCTGAAGTTCCATTTTCACCATATATGTCTACATTATCTTCCCGTTCTCTTCGATTGTGCCTCTGGCATATATTCCATTTCTGAATAGCCTCAACAACCAATCTTGTGTCAGCCTCTAATGCAGATTCATGTGCCTGTGTTAATCCAGAAACTACTGAATCTTGACCCATTGCTGTGCCCAGTGCATATTGTATCATAGAACCAGTGGATGAAAAAACCAACAGGTGATATTTTGTCTTAAAATAGTTCCCATCTACATGCAAGGCACTCCCTTTGCTGTCACAAAAAGACGAAGCAATAACTCCAGACCGGAAGCTTGTCCTACCTGTTGCAGCAGCGGCTGCACCACTTACAGTGCTTCTCCAGCCGTTATTTCCATTCCTAATTCTGCATACAACAGAAAGTGTGATTGGCTGCCCAGTTGCACACAGACCTTGTTTAGGAATTTGTAAACTTGAATTAGGAGGCCACCAAACTGCTGGGTCATTCATAACAGCCAATCCACCATTTTTTGATGTAAAACTCGCATCATAGGACTGAATATTTACAGATCCTCCAATAGGATTTATGGCAAACAAATGGCTAGTACCCCTTGAGGAACTAATCATAACCCAGTTACTGTCATCACTGAAACTGATATCTTGAATTACCTGAAAAATTCAAAATATACAGATGAGAACTATGAGAACTAGCCCTGTTGCTTTTATGCACACACCCATACATACAAGAGAAAGAGAGATAACAGGAAATTGTTCACTAACTGCATTTGTAAAGCCACGTTGTAGCCTGTAAAGATGAACATAGGTAGGGCTGCCATCAGATGCCCAACTGTCGGAGTGTCCAGGTATTATCTTAAATACATTAATATTATGCCCCTGAACTGATGCAGTCACTAAAATAGTGCCGCTAGGATCAAAGCATAAGGCTGAAATAGGACCTTTGTGGGCTCGGAATTGAGCAACAACGCTTTTATTGACAATGTCTCTGACAATGACCTGACAGAAAACACAAAGTTATCTCAGGGAAAAGACAATTTAATTTAGGCTGCGTTAATCAAGTAGATTAAAAGAAGAATTTCAGGAAAGGAAAAGGGGGAGGGGAAAGTATTTTTAATTGTATTTGGCAGATGCCATAGTAGTTTATTTGTAAAGAGAACTCCCCATGTTCATGAGAAAGAGTTTTTTCATTCACACTCCCTTTCTCATTCTCTTTTTGCACCAAATGGGCCCTAATGCAAAAATTCCAGATGCTTCAAAATAGAGTAACGAAGCTGACAGACAAGAGTAATAAAAAAACAAAAAATCCTCATTTATTATAATTCTCATGGGGTCTCGATAGATGTTTCATGCAATTCCTACGTTAAGTGAGTCAATGATTCAAGTAGGTGAAATAGCGCAATAACATAACTTTTTAAGTTGCAAACTGTGCTTCTATTTTTTCCCCCTCTTCACCACTTAATTTTCCAAGAAATGCAACATAAGTAAACTCGCATGAAATTTTAAATTTGCAAAAGCCTCCCATGTTCAGAAAGATAAGTGCCAGTAAAGATGAGTCTAGAGCTTATTGAGCTAGATTTGAACTAAGGAAAAGGGCTGGTACTAGAAAAAATTTCTGTAACAACTAAGCAGCACATCAAACCACCAACCAAAACCTGAGATGTGGAAACATTGACATAACAAAGCCTAAAAGTGAATCAAGCACAGCAGTTGCCTATCCAGTTACAAATAAACCGAAGTCAGGAATAAATAGTACTAACCATTCCAATATTTTCCAAATCCCCCAAATGGCCATTACTGATTCCATTGCCCTTCCAGCTGGAGTTTACAGATGGTGAAGAATCATTGCCATCAGGTCGTTGCTCAGAGCAATATCTAGAAAGCTTCTTATACCCTATATCTCCAAGTGTGACTATCCCGGCAGCAAGTTGCTTGCTGGACTCGGTGGCATAGTGAGCAACCAAGCTCCCATTCGAAGAAAAACCAGGAAAGCTTGCAGAAGGTGTCATATGTTGAGGATTGACACGACCAGAATTTGAGACTACAACCGGGCTTCCACTATAAGCCAGCCATCTAGGACCCACTGACAGTGGTCCATAGCCTATACCTCCGGAAACAGGGCAGCTCATGACAATTGGATTGGTAAGCAGAGTATATTCCCTTTCTAATGTAGTGGCATTTAAGCAGTGTATCTGCAAGATAGAAGCTCCACTAAACAATCCAAGAAAGGTGCTTGTAATTAGATATTAAAGATGCTTTCAATAGATGTTGAATATTATACCTGAGTGGATTGAGCAACAGCAACAACACGAGAACTGCACCTAACAGAGTAAATAGCTGATCTGAACTTTAATACATGTACATATGATTGGGATCTCAAAGAATAAAACCGAACAGTAGTTGGCAGATAAATGCCATTTGCTTGGTCATGGCAGTTTAAAGTGCTCCCATTGCAAGGAGAGACAAAACCATCCTGATTGTTACTGCCTCCAGCATAAATTCCATCAGTACAAACAACCAACAGTGGACGGCTGTCCGCAAACTTATCTTCTGATTTCTTTGATGCAATTGGTTTTGATAGCATTTGCATAAAAGAAACAGGACCATCATGTCTGGAAACTAGGACTCGCACATTTTTGGAATCTTCAACATCCCAAACCTGGAACCCAGTTCGATAGCCTAGAAGAAGAACTTGCCGGATGACATCTCCCTCCGCCTCTAACTTGTCATACCCAGCCCAGATAACCTTCACAATTTTAAAAAAAAAAAAAAAATTGATGAGTCACCTCATTCCCATCTCTGACTTCAAATATGCAGATGTCAAATAAAAAATCAATTACTCGTTTAAGAAGAAAAGCTACAGCAAGAAATCTAAGAAACTAAACGAAAAAATAGTTTGGAGAATGGAATCTCGAAAAGGCAGGAAAAAAGGCAATCAAAACTACTTAACCAAAATTTAACCCACTATCTCAGACCACACAACATGCCCTCGCTTGTAGGCGACGAAAATCTGCATTCCATAAAAAGCTACCAAATTGTGTATGCATATTCATCAAGACACGTGTAGTCCGAGATGGCAAACTACATTGGACCAATTCGAAAATGTAGCATACGATTCAAGATTAACTTTTTAGAATCATTCTATTCTATAAAGAATTGCACCATGAACAAGACATGCAATGTTCAGAACTTCATAAAACTGGCAGCTGCAACTTTGTTAAGCTAGTCTTCACATTGGCCTATCTGGGCAAAATGATGACCTACTCATCTTCACCCACGAAAAGAAATCGCACAAGATAAAATACATTTTGTCGCATAAATCATAATCAAGATAGGATATTGACACCAATACAACAAATCCAAAAATTTTCACAAAGTGAAAATCACTTTCACGGGTACAAATTAACCATCAGCAAACAGACTAGATTTTCAGTATATACTCTCCCGTCTTTTAATCAGGAATACAAGATGTTGGTGCGATAAGCATTTAAGATATATCATTCATTAAAGCCAGCAGTTAAATCCACGAATCATTGACGAACAGCATCTCGATACAAACCACTTTCAAATTTAAGCTCTTGCACAAGTTTATGATGACAATCGACAAAATCTTTCCTTTTTGGACGGATTAAATTCAAGACAAAGCCTATGTATCCTAGCAAATCTCATACCTGATCCTGGTCAGCGTCATTATCCCTATCAAGAATCGAAGAAGCAACCGATGCTGCGGACCGCGCAACGGTGGAAGCACCAGAGGAAACGACCCTCAGGTAGCTTGAAAGAGCACGGAATGAGCTCGGAATTAATCCATTGGTTCGTCCTGACCGAGGCATTGCACCTCCCTGATGTAGTTTCTGGTCATCTTTCCTCATTCCCAGAACCAAATAAGTGAAAAATAGAAGCTGACTAAAGCAGAACAATCACCGATTCTTCAAATACAACTTCGATCATAACCCAGGCTATTCCTTTTTTAAGCCACCGTGAAGAAAATTACATCACCAACTCACAATATCTCATGTCACAACTGTCTCCATCTCTGAGACCTTCAACTCGGCGAAAAGATACAAATATCAATTAACCCCCAAAGTTCAACACTCCAAGCAAGACAAAATTCGTTTTGAATCTTCGTCGTGTTGCACCTCCAATTTTTCCCTCTTTTGATAAAAACAAGAAGCTAAGACGAAGCTGAAAACTGGTTTTGTGGAAACAAATAGAAGGAATAATGCTCCGAATTTGTTTCCTTGTTTCAACACCGGAGAGCCCAAATTCAAACTACGATCAATTTACAGGTCGAACTTGAATCCACTTTAACAAATGATTTCCTAGTTGCTACTAATTACAAACAAATTAATCCAACCAATTTACAGAGAAAACAAAACTTTTTGTTTTGAATATGGGATTTGAATTAATATGTCCCGACAAAAAAATATTAAGAGATGAATTATGACAAATAGTTGTAGAATCGGCGTTTAGGGCTCAGAAACGGAAAACCGCCGAGAAATCGCAGGAAACCCGGGAGAGATCTGGGGAAAGAGAAACAGTGACAACGTGTTGGAGGGAAGGGGGAAGGAATCGAAGAAGACTGGATAACAAAGAAACCAATCAACGAAAATACGAAAAGACTCTCCTTTTACGCCTCTCTTCTTCACTCTTTCTCTCAAAGTCTCAATTTTTTTAATTTTCTTTTTGGGATTTCGGGGTTTGGTGAAAAATTAATTAGGAAACCACGTTGGTGAATTGAACTGAACAAAACTAACCGCACCATAATCTCTCCCTCTATTACACGTCTTGTGTCCCTCAATAGTTGTCACTCCTACTTCATCTTCCTGATCGATTAATAACATCAATCTTGCTCTGGTTTTGATTCATGGAATGAAACTAATTGTAATAATGACGAATTAATTGAGAAGTCCATTAGATGCGAGAATGATATTATCATAATCAAGACACCATTCAGGCCGGCAAAATCAAGACACCATCTTAGCCAATTTTTCTTGCCGTTTTTTTTAACATCATTATGCATTCATAATCTTACTGTTGAGATCATAGGTGGGTGCTATGTGAAAACTTAAAAAAACAAAAAAAAACAAAACAAGTGAGACAAAGTACCATTTACGACTCAGGTAAAAAGAAAAAAGTCCCATGTGACAATAATAATAAGAATAAATGGAATTGGACGTCCTAGTTTATAAGGTAGCCAAAAACGATTCAAGTCGGACGAACACATCCAAATAAATAGGACGCCCAATTCATAATGGCATACAATTAAGAGAGAAAGTTTGGCGTCAAATGTTAGGCCTCTTTTTTCCCCTCTTTGGTGCATCTTGCTGTTAGGATAAATTCTTATTTTAATACTCCTCCGGTCTTAATTATAAAACCCAAGTGACTTATTTGAGGAGATTAAGGAAATAAATTAAATTGGTTATTTATAATAAATAAGTGTTGTCATTCCTAAAATATCCTTGTTAATTAAGTATATTGGCTAAAACTATCATTATTAGAAGGATTATCTTGGAAAAAAATGCATAAATATAATAGACAAAATGGATTGGAGTCTTATAATTAGGACCAAATAAAAAGTCAAACGGGGTCTTATAATAAGGACCGGAGGAGTATCATACAACCTTTAGTGTTATACATTACATATGTTAATACTATATATATAATTTTTAATATAAAAACTAAATAATTAATTTGAATATATTAAAAAAATAGTTAAATTGGTTATTTACCACAAACATGTATTGATTTTCTTAATCTATTTTCTTCAGTCATCATGTGTAATCATCTTTTGGCAGGAAATTCTTACATTCAACGGAGATATTTTAAGAAGAGTTAAGAGACAAAATAAATTGATATTTTATATATGAGATTAAATCAAACCCAACTAACTTTAAAAAAAATTAAGAGGAGTATTTTTAGGGAAGAATTACAATTAGATCCTAAGGAAACAATTTAATTACCCTAAATTTTATTAATAAGTGAATAATAGGCAATGACAAATTTGAAAATAGAGAATGACAATATGCTTAGATTGATCACTTGTCTTTAAGACTTTTTAATAATTAATTTTTTTTTCAGAGTCTTCATTTGAAAATCTAAGTTGTTTGTTCTGCAGAAAAAAATGACAGAGCATACATAGATCCGCTTAATAAATGATACTCCTCCGGTCCTTAATATAGAACCCAATTCTTGAGTTGGTTTTGGTCATAAATATAAGACCAATTTCTCATATTTATCAATTTTCTCTAAATTACCCCTATGGATACTCCCTCAACCATAATCAAGTAGAAGAGGGAGAGGGGGTATTAAGAAAGATGATTATGGTGTTTTAGGAAAAATGTGTCACTTATATCATAATTAACTAACTTACCTAACTTCCTTAATATAATCAAATTAGTTAAATGGGTCCTATATTAAGGATCGGAGGAGTAATATAATGTAAAAATGAAAGGGCAGGCAAGTGCAGACAAAAGACAAGCATGAGAAAACATGTTTTCTACTCATTTTCTTCCGATTTCTGTATATGAAGAGAATAGTAAGGACAATACATATCTGTTTCTTTCCAATTTTTTTCATTCACTTCTCTTCATTCATCCAAACAAGAAAGAACATGTTTCTCCTCTCATTTTTTATTTTTCACTTTTCGTTCCTCTTTCAATTTTTCTCTCTATCCAAACAGGGTAAGAGTTCGGAGAGATTATTAATACGAGGGTGAGAGTATACGAAAGGGGAGTATTTAGTACTTGTACGCAAAGCATCTTGGAATGGTTTGTTTCACAAGTTGAGGTAAAGTCAGCCTAATAAAGGAACCAGAAATCCTAAAGCCAAGAACATAAGCCAGCCTCCCTCACTTTGTCTTAAAGTCAATAGAATCATTCGTATCCATATTAGTCACCAATATGAAATGTAAAAGCTTCATGTTACGTTTCCAACACAACAGATCATTCCATTAGTCTTATGAATATTAATAGAGATAAGTATTTTCAAAAAAAGAAAATAATCAGTTATTGACGGGAAACACTTGATATATTTTTATATGCTGTGCAAAATTTCGTGCACAAAAAGTATCGGTATTCAAATTTTTGGTGTTCAAATTTATGTTCTTCTAACAAATACAAATTTCAAATGTGAATTTTTCTTCTTCTTTTTTCAGAAACAAAAAAATTGGGGGGGGGGGACATGCATCTATTTAATTAATGTCCCTGAATTGTAATATTTTTCCCGTTATTGGTCCATTTAATTTTAAAGTGATTGTTATTGGTCTACTTAGCTATTCAGGGTTATGCATTATTTCTATGATGTTATTATTTTTTGTTGTCACTAATTTTTGTGATTTTACATTAGCTTGGTGCATTTTAAATAATTTATATCCACACTCAAATATAAGACCTGGTGATATTATTGCGACTTTTTTTTATCAAATAATTATCACAAAATAAAATATACGAAATGTCAGAGTCTAATTGTCTATCAAATTCGTTTTGCCCAACCTATCTTTTGGTTTGGTTCCACCTATATCTTTTATTGGTAAACCAGAAATAGTGTTTAGAGTTATGTTATGTTTTTCCTTCCCAAAAAAAAAGAAGAAGAAAGAAAGTGATTCTTAAAATTAAAAGAAAAAGAAAAGAAACAGTATTAAGGAAGACACCGAAAGAGCAGAATGAGGGAGAGTGACATGTGATTACTGACCCGAGTTTGGGTGCATTAATATATCGTATTAAGTGGTTACATGTGAGTTATGACTAATAGCCAAACAGGCCTAAACAAATGTGACTAATACCCAATAAATTAATGAAAGAAAATTCACAAGCCATTTTTGACCTGTAATCTTGTGACATGAGTTTTTTTTCCAATAAATGAAGGACAACGGGTTTATTTGTGATTTTAAGTCATTAGTATTTACTTCTCTAATTTTTAAAATGCTATTATTAGTATCCATCTTTATAATTTAATACTATCTCATGTGCTTAATATAAAAAATTATTTATTTTGATCTTAAATATAAGATCTTAATATACTTTATTTTTTATATATTTTTTAAGATAGTTCTTATAATAATAGTAGTTCTAACTAATATAATTAATTAGTAAGAATACTCTAAAAAAATACTACCTCTGGTCCTTAATATAAGACCCCGTTTGACTTTTAGTTTGGTCCTAATTATAAGACCCAATCTATTTTGTCTCTCATATTTATGCATTTTTTCCCAAGATAGTCCTTCTAATAATGATAGTTCTAACCAACACACTTAATTAGCAAGGATATTTTAGGAATGACAACATTTATTTGTTACAAATAACTAATTTAACTTACTTCCTTAATCTTCTCAAATTAGTCAACTGGGTCCTAAAAATTAGGACCGGAGGTAGTAACATATATTTATTATAAATAACTAATTTAATTAATTAATTTTTATATTAATAATTAAAAATAGTACATGTTTTTATTGGTTTAATTTCAGAACGGTGTCAAAAGCTGATGGACGGTGCGTAGGCTTTTAGCCGAGGAGCAACGCGCCGCAAATGAGATTGTCGTACATACGAGCTGAGTAGGACGCAGGCGACGCATGTGCCCGCTTACTTTGCGCAACAACATTGTCGCCGTAGTTTTAGGTCCCTTTTGGGTCCCACTCACCCGCACCTATTTATGTAGTTTGCTAATCCATCTCCCATCATCTGTCTTGTCGCCTTCTTCTGCAGTTCTGCTCCCTTCCTTCTCACTGCCATAACCAATATATATTCATTTTATATTTATAAAATTTAATTATATATTTAATTTAATTTAAATATAAAATTTTAAGTCATTTTGTCTCCCGAGTTCATAATATTTTTTTCTAAAATGTTCCAATTACAAAGACTCTCATGATGGGGTGGTTTTATTCCACATGCATTAAATTCAGTCCTTGTCTTTTATTGTACATGCCATCTGGTTCCACTGGGATGTGGTCATTTGTTTTGTTTTTGGTTTTTTTCCCCTTTTTTTTTGGGGGGGGGGTGTTGGGCTTGCCTTAGTTCTTCTTCCAATCTTGTTGATATGTCTGGTCTTGTTGGGCTTTACGTACAGTCTGGTCTCTCTGCTTGGCTTGGTATCTGTGGATTGTTATCATTTCCAATTAATGCAATTTTTCTCTATTACTCCCTCCGTCAGATAAAATGACCATCATTTATCTCCATTTCATTTTATTTTTCTTAGAACGACCATTAAGTCTTAAAATTTTAATTTAACAACACTAAGGTATAAAAAATTTTGTTCAAAGAAGAGTTGAAAAGTCGATAAAGATAACTGTAAATATGGAAATCTCAATTGTAAATTATGGACATTGATATGTAAGATTTAAATTCTTGATTTGTAACGGTCTATACGTTTGCAAACTTTCGTTCTTTTTTTTCCAGAAATTTTTCCAAAACTTAATTGTTATTAAATTCATCTTTGACAGTGCGCCATTCCTCTTTATAACTTCTTTTTTTTTTTAATGAATGTATCACTATTTATTTTTTACTCATTGAATTCAAACATTGATCATTATAACCTCTAGTGTTTATGAACTGCAGGGACTAGGGTTATTGGCAGCGTCAGCTATGTTTCCTTCTCCAACCAATTCTGAATCGCTTTCTTCTCAACTGCGAGTGATATTGTTTTTTATTGCACTTTACTTGGTGGCCATTGGACAAGGAGGACATAAGCCTTGTGTTCAAGCTTTTGGAGCTGATCAGTTTGATGAAAACCATCTAGAAGAATGCAAAGCCAGAAGCTCATTCTTTAATTGGTGGTATTGCACTATGTGTGTAGGCATCCTGGTCGCTCTTTTGACGTTAAACTATATACAGGATAACCTTAGTTGGGTCCTAGGATTTGGAATCCCTTGTCTTGTGATGATCATTGCGTTGATTGTTTTCTTGCTTGGAACTAAGACGTACAGGTTTAATGTTATTGAAGTGCTTGACAAGAGTCCCTTCATGAGAATTGGCCGTGTTTTTGCTGTAGCCTCAAGAAACCGGCGAAAATCTTTGTCAAATATTGTGACTGATGAGGAATTTTGTGCTCATAAAGCTCACCAATGTTCCAGACAATTCACGTAAGAAAATTAGCTGGTTTCTGCATGATTGCAACGATGGGATGTCTTTTCTCTTGATTCTGTTTGAGTAGAAGCATCTTTTTTTATAGTATCTTGTTTAGTAAGATGACAATCTTGTAACATCAGACATAGCTATCGAGTAGAAAACATGTGAAAGCCTACGTCATCAAAATTCTGAACAATTTAGATGCAAAGAAGAGTTAATTTCTACATGTTCTGCAAAATAAGTGATCTTGGTGGTATTTTTGATGGAACTAATATTGAATATAAGCCGGTACTTGATAATGCTTCCTTTGTTAGAGTGGTACAAAATTCTCCAGGGTAGCTTCTTTGGACTTCTTTGACTATATTAATGTTTATTTATTTGTTTACTGCTCTTTACTATGACAGATTTCTCCACAAAGCATTGCTTGGACCAAATGAGGAAGCTTGTAGCCTCAATGAAGTAGAAGAAGCAAAGGCTATACTTAGACTTGTCCCAATCTGGGCAACAAGTTTAATCTTTGGCATTGTGTTTGCTCAAGTTCCTACTTTCTTCACCAAGCAAGGGGCTACTATGTACAGAACTATATCTTCAGGCTTCGATATCCCTGCTGCTTCTCTCCAATCTCTGATCTACCTGGGTATTGTTATTCTCAGTCCCATTTATGACCGTATATTCGTGCCAATCGCGAAATCCATCACCAAAAACCCTTCAGGCATCACAATGCTACAAAGAATAGGAACTGGAATATTCATCTCCATAATTACAGTAATAGTTGCTGCTGCTGTTGAGGCAAAAAGACTGAACACAGCAGAAGAGTATGGTCTAGTTGATGAACCAAATGAGACTGTCCCAATGAGTGTGTCGTGGTTGATTCCTCAGTACCTGTTGTTCGGAATAGCCGAGGTTTTCACCATGGTTGGTCTTCAAGAATTCTTCTATGATCAGGTCCCAAATGAACTAAGAAGCATGGGCCTTGCTCTCTACTTGAGTATCTTTGGCGTGGGAAGCTTCTTAAGGAGCTTTCTGATCTCTGTGATAGAGGAAGTAACAGGCAAAGATGGCCAGAGCAATAGCTGGTTTGCTAATAATCTCAACCAGGCACATCTTGATTACTTCTACTGGTTACTCGCTGGGCTTAGTATAATGGGATTATCTTTATTCATTCTCTCCGCAAAATCTTACATATATAACCAAAAAGCAAGGATATAAGGACTAGGATATTCTGTTTCTTTAAAGTAACACGTATGTTTCCAACTACAGCAATTCTTTCTTCATTTATATGTCATGAATTGCTACTGAATTTGGATACACGCTGCAAATGAGAAGTTCGTAAAATATGTTAAATTAAGAGGGAAAAAAGTGATGAGAAAAATGCAAATATAATATCAAACTTATTACAGAACTTTTTATTTTAAATATTTTTATATGTTCTATTATTTTAAATATGAGAGAGAAAGAGAGAGGGATGATGAATGGCGAATGATGAGCATGTTAGATCAGGCCGAGTACAAATGATAAATGTCTGTCACATTCATACTCATTCAAGAAAACCAATCCCGAGGCATGTGTGCCATGCTTTGTTTTCTTTTATTTTGATAGTATTCAATGCTTTTTTAAAATACTACTATTCTGATTTTAAATATAAAATTTATTACAAAATAAGTGTTATATTTAAAATCAGAGGAGTACTACATTATCCACCCACATATATATTTTTTCTTCAGTTAGTGGAAAATATAATACCTGATTAATTTACTTACAAAAATTAAAGAAATTAATTATTATCATTATTATTAAGTAAAAATAAGTGTCGTTATTATTTCATTTGTTTTGCTTCTTTTCTTTGATCGTTTTTTAATGTTTTATAGAAGGGTGGTCTTGGTTTTGTCATTTATATACACGTGTCCTAAAATATCTAAGTTTTAAAACAAATTTCAAAGAGTTTTAATAGGCAATATAATCGTCACTAAGAAATTTTCTTGGCAATTTCCCCAATTTTTTTTAAAAGAAAACAGTTCTATATAAAATACTACTAATATTTAGCGTAATAATAAAATTATTCAGCAAAAAAGCTGTACAAGAAGTATTGTGAATGTGATAAAGAATAGTATCAATAATACTATCGATCTTAAATATAATAATTACTTGACTAATTTAAATAGATTAAAAAATAAGTTGAATTAGTTATTTGTAATAAATAAGTGTTGTTCTTCTTAAAATATTCTTATTAATCAAGTACATTGGTTAGAACTACTATTATTAAAAAGACTATCTCAAAAAAAATATGATAAGCAAAATAAATTTAAGTCTTATATTTAAAATCAAAATAAAAATTAAATAAAATTTTATATTAATAACCGGAACTACTCATAAATACTATTTATGTACATAAATTCCCTGACAAGGGGCAGGGATCCAATGTTACGGGCGGCACTGCTCCTGCGCTGAAAGCCTGAAACAAAACCCCGACTCTCACGTGCCGCACGTTTGCTTTTCCCCTCTGCCAAACCAAGTCACGTGCTCCGCAACTCGCGTCTCGCGCCCACTGTTATCTTTCTGTAAGAAAGAAGAAACCTTCGGACAGCTCCACAAACGCCAACCCGCCTTCAATGACCTGCGAAGCACTCACTCCAATCCAAATGCTTATATCAACCCAAATCCTCCGATCCAAGCCAGATTAGATACATCCCATTCTCAACGAACAAACTGTTCCTCTTCGCCATCTTTTGATATTGTCGGTGTATTTTTCCTGTTGCCCGGAATCTTTGTCAAGACTTCTGGATCCAGAACTGCAAGAGTTCAGCTGAACGGAAGGGGGCTATGGAATCCATATTGGCTAGAGCTTTGGAGTACACTCTCAAGTACTGGCTCAAATCCTTCTCTAGAGATCAATTCAAGTTGCAGGGTCGGACGGTGCAGCTCTCGAATCTAGGTGAATTTCGTTGTTGGCATGCTCTATTTGTCTCATTTTCTTCTTCGGATTGTATTGCTTAGGTGTTGATTATGTTTGGTTTTGTTTGCATTCTCGTCAGATTTAAACGGGGATGCTTTGCATTCGAGTGTTGGATTGCCACCTGCTCTGAATGTTGCGACGGCGAAAGTGGGGAAATTGGAGATCATAGTTAGTAACTAACTTGCTACACTGATATGATCAACTGGAGTCTGTCGATGTCTTTGCTGTTTATTATTTGGTTCAGAAGGATCAGAAGTAAAATGGGCAGAAAGTGATAGGCTCTTTGCTCTGCAAAACATAATTTAGGCTCATAAACGCTGCTTTATTTCTACTCCTTATCAGCAATGAATTTTCTATTTCCAATAGATACTTTACATTTTCGTTCTCTATTTTCCCTATGATTTTCTGGGTTTTGATTAATATGCGTGACCTTTTTAGCTTCCTTCGGTGAGCAACGTTCAAATAGAGCCCATCATTGTGCAAATTGATCGACTTGATTTGGTTCTTGAAGAGAATACTAATTTTGATGCATCTGCAAGTCCAAAGTGGTATTGAAATCGTCTCTTGGTCATGATTATGCTGTATGATTGTCGTGGAGATGCCTTTTCCATTGGATAGTAATTTTTTCTTGTTTTAATATTGTTATGAGCAGCAGCGCCACGCCATCTACTGCCTCCACAAAGGGGAGCGGATATGGTTTTGCTGATAAGGTTTGACTCTATCTCTTCTTAGCTTATTCTGATGTAAATGTTGTACCGATTTTCTGCTATTTAGCTTATATGCAGTACCATGCCATCTGCTCACCACTTGCCATTCAGCCTGATACAATCCTGGGTGCTTTTAGTTACTCCTAGGAAAAACCTATCACTTGTCCATACGGAGACTTTTGATTTGAATGTCATTTATTGCAACTGACTGTGGCCAATCATCAGATTGCAGATGGAATGACTATACAGATTCATACAGTCAACTTATTACTTGAAACTCGTGGAGGTGCTTGCCGACAAGGGGGATCGACTTGGTAAGTTACTCTTACTACTAATTAAAATTGAGTAACCTCTTCAGTTTTTCAATTTATTTATTTTCTGCTATCACTGTCAAGTGTTATGGGTCTCAAATTCTCAATAAGCTGGAATTAATATCATCATCCTGTTTTGTGAAAGTTGATTCATTATTTAAACTAGTTCTCTTGTGATCGAGTCAAAATTTAGTGGGTGTTTCTGTTCGGTGGAATAGCTCTGAGCGTAAACCTGGTGAATTATACAATTACACCTTTTATTTGGCTTGAAGACTAGGTTATAAATTGCCCTGAAATTTACTTATGCATATCCTGCTTTGCTGAGTTTGGTTGTAGGGCACCGCCTATGGCATCTATCACCATTTGCAATCTTTTGCTCTATACTACAAATGAAGAATGGCAGGTGATTATCTTTGCAAGACTTATGCTTACAGTTGTTTTCTTGGCTTGACTCAAGAATGAGGCATTGTCCCATCTCAGGTTGTAAATCTTAAGGAAGCACGAGAGTTCTCCAGCAACAAGAAGTACATTTACGTGTTCAAAGTACTGTACTACCTTTCATTAGTTTGAACCTTTATGTTTGGTTGTGTAACTGGATGGAGATGGCTGTCTGTTCTTCAAATTGCTCTTCTACATTCTGTGATCTGCCCCTCCTTTCCTTTTCACAAGTTTATTGTGTATCATCATCTTTAATATATATCTGCTATATTTCTTGATTTTGATTGTGCTATGTTGCTTTAGTTATTTTTCCCCTTCTAGATAATAATTCAACATTTTTTCTCTCCAGAAACTTGAATGGGAATCTTTGTCTATTGATCTTTTGCCACATCCTGACATGTTCACGGGTTCTACTTTAGGCCGCTCTCAAGAGGGAGCGAACCAGAGAGATGACGATGGTGCCAAGAGAGTTTTTTTTGGAGGAGAGCGGTTCCTAGAAGGCATATCTGGGGAGGCATATGTAATGAATATAATTCCTCTATTTGATTTTTCACTTTGTTTCATTTTGAGCCTTTGTGTGACAATATTTCCAAAATTCTATTTTTTTTAGATTACAATTCAAAGAACTGAATCAAACAGTCCACTTGGGCTTGAGGTTCAGTTACACATTACTGAAGCTGTGTGCCCAGCATTAAGTGAACCAGGTAAGTGAAGGGACATGTGGACTTTTTGTGTCTTACATGACTGTATAAATGTGATGCGAGATTAATGCCTTGTGCGTGATCAGGACTGCGTGCTCTTCTCCGCTTTATGACGGGTATATATGTCTGCCTAAACAGAGGAGATGTTGATTTTAAGGCTCAACAGGTTCGGAATTTCCATTTTTTTTTCTTTGGAGAAAACAAATTATTGTTACTTTGATTACCAGCAATCATCAAGCTCGATACCTCTTGGTCAAGCCTCTTAGGCTGGACTGAGGGGACCGGTTTTGCAAATTATTGTTACTTTGTTATGTTGAAAAAGGAAAATCCTCCCATCTCTTGCTTCATCTAAGTCTATCTGTTATGGGATCATGACAGCGGTCGACAGAAGCAGCTGGGCGCTCTCTTGTCTCTATTGTTGTGGACCACATATTTTTTTGCATTAAAGATACTGGTTTGCCTTTAGCCCTGGATGCTTGATTTTAATATTGATTCAGCATGTCCTTTAATCATCTATTAGGGCTTGTAGTTTATGTACATAAACAGCAGGCAAATTTATCAAACAATTGATATTTATGCAGAATTCAAGCTTGAGCTCCTAATGCAGTCTCTCTTCTTTTCTCGGGTAATTTTCCATGATGAAGTTCATATGTTGTTCTTCTCTAGATTACCTTACCATCCTTCATTGATTCTCCTTTTCTTGAGTGATTATTCATGTTACCATTCCCTGAAAGGCCACAGTAGGCAACCTTCTCTTTCACATGTGGGCTTATGTGGTTCAGTTACACATTGCTATAACTGATGAGTGATTCTGATAAAAAATATGATTCATGTAGTGTTCTAGGGTAGAATTGACATGGTAAGTTTGTTTCCTTAATCATAGTAGATTTTCATTGAAATGCTCTTTTTATTTCATTCTCTTTCCCTCGGATATTTATGTTTGGGTTCGTAAATTCTGCTTTTGCTGATGAAAGTGTCAGATATCACTGACAAATGTATATTGTCTTTTCCTTCAAATGTGTGGCCATGTTGTTTGTCCCTCTGCTGAGCCATGTAATTAACATTGCTTCAGAAGTGGAAGTCATTTGTTTTGATGCCC